TGGTTAAAAAAAGTTCACACTTTTGATATTAGTCGAAGAGAGTGCAATCATTGGAACTATATTGCTGGGGTGCAGTCATTATGATAAATACTTATAAATACCTAAATATTAAAAATAATTTACTACTTTGGGTGAAGTCTGGAAAGTCTTGTTAGTTTCAGTAATTGACTTTTAAGACTGAAAGCCTTTTGTCCGGTGCAGACGATATTTTATTGTTTCCAAACGCCTTATTTTACGAGAAGTGAGTGCATTTCTTTCGAAAGGCTTTCATTATACATTGATTGATTAGAACTTTGACTTAGAAGGCATCGTTAACTCGGAGTGTCGATTGTGAGACTTAGCTAAAATCTTCTGCTATAATCTATTTAACCAACATTATAGGAAGATGGACGTTCACACTTGAAGGTCTCTCAACACGCCACACATGTTTGATCAATTCGACCCTTCTTTGTATGACCCTTTGAGTCGGATTGGGGAATGAAGTTCAAATGAGACCGATTAACACAATACTAAAACTGAAGTCTTCAATCACATTTAGGGTCAAGTGAAATAAATACCGAACGGGATACCAGGTATTCATTTCAAAGGTGATATGACATACCGTGATACCGGTACAAAGTGCATGCATCTCCTGATACTGGGAGCAATAATGGATATTACTATCATAATCAGGTACCATGGAATAGGTAAAATATGTTCATATAAACTCTAGTAACATTTATACACAATTATTGGTGCCATGCCGGTACTGTACATCGAAACCAGTTTCATCCATGGCATACGGCAAAGGGGGAAAATAATGAATTTTTATTTGAGTAATAAAATTGACTGCCAGACATTCATGTCATAAACTAAGTCTAAAATGAAGCAGATATATTCTTCATATACCTCAAATTTTTTTATTTCACATTGAATCAGCGTGCCAATGACTTTCAATTTATTGCAATTAATGATAATATAACAGCAAATATAGTTGTCCACTTCAAACATTGCATTATCTTTATGCTTAATTACTGGTGATTATTATAGTTGAAATTCTTAAGATATTTTTAAAGAAACAATCGCAAATGTTATTGCCTAGTCATTGTAATAATTTAAAAAAAAATAGTAACTTGCCTTCAGATATTAGTCAACTAGATCTATTCACAACACGAAATCAGTAAGACAGCCTGCAGTTCTGGCGAAATAATGTGTAAATTTCAATATTTTTGTGAGAAAAACGTGCAGTTTAGTGGGTGATGAATTGAAGAGCCAAAGACATCTAATAACACGCTGGCACACGTGTATACACGCCAGCACAATAACACGTTGTACATACAGGAACAAATGGTAAATGTCGACTTAACCGCGCGGGAAACATGTCATGTAAGCATGAGTGACAAGAGCCCAGTTAATTGAAGTGCCGTTCATTGTTATGGTTAAACAAATTTTTCATTTGACATCTATGGAAACACAATAACAAGTATGAAAACAGTAGCAACAGCAATCACAACAATTATTAAAAATTGCCGGTACAGCTCTCAGCTCAGTAGTAATAGTATAGTATAGTATTTTCGGCATTAAATAAAAAGGCCTGGATAGGCCTGTCGCCGATTCTTGTACTTTTCTTGACTTGACTGGCCTTACGGACGGTAGATTTAAAATCACTTCTAGATATCAGTTGTTCCGTAGGGTACGAGGCATTTTAAGACTGAACATATGCTCATGCATGGCCTTGTCTAGTCTGTTCTTGAACGCGTTCATACTTGGAGCGTCAACAATATCTTCAGGGAGGCTGTTCCACATGTCAGTGACTCGAAGCGAGAAGAAATGTTGTCGCGTGGATAAGTTGAAGCGCAGTTTTTTTAGTTTATAGCTGTGGCCCCTGGTGTTGGTTCTTGTTTCAAATTCTAGTAATCCTTCTGGGACCTTGTACAAACCATGAGTATACTTGTATACTTCAATGAGGTCACCACGCAGGCGACGATAACGGAGACTGGGAAGCTTCATAATCTTCAATCTTTCTTCATAAGACTTGCCCTTTAATCCTGGTATTATCCTTGTTTCACGTCTTTGAACACTCTCAACTAAATTTTTGTCCTTTTCAAGTCTCGGTGACCACACAACGTTTCCAAACTCTAGGTTTGGGCGCACGACAGAGGTGAACAACAGCTTCATCATTTCTATATCTAGGTACTCGTAGGAGCGTCTGATCAGCCCAAGCAGTTTATTGGATGTATTAACTTGCGTTTCAATATGCCTATAAAATTTTAGCTCCCTGTCGACACAAACTCCAAGATCTTTTTCCACGCAAGACTTCTCAATCATAACCCTCTCGTTGCAGCATTTTATACTGTTGTCCTTATAACACTATTGAGAGATTCCAATATTGTAAGTTTATGCCAATTGTGCAACAAATACAGACAAATCTTCACACATCATCGAGTAAAATAATTATATTTACATAAAGCAGCACAGAATCATCAATACCAAGCAGATTCGAGGTCCATTTTTCTTTGTTTGAATTCCCGCAATGATAAATGAATGCCAGAACTTTATGTTAAGGTAATTGCTACGTTCATTTATGAGCAATCAATGAACGGAGGGTCTCACAATAAGAGCTTGGGTCAGACGCTCTGCAGCCGCTGCGGGAGTTGTACGTTCAACACGGCGGCCACTGCCACTGTGTTCACCATCACATCACTTTATATCCATCTGAAAACAGCGGTACTGCCACTGTTCATCTCAGCACATAGGCCACTGGCAATTTAGTAGAAATACAGTGCAGTTGCCACCATTTTTTGGCAATAAATGCAGAGGAGAACATGTGTTTGCTAATGCGAAGCCTGGCAGCCATAAGCTTGAAAAGCGGAACTACATCTAATACGAACCGATTGTGCGGGTAAATATAAACTATGGAAAAAAAGAACTCTCCATGCAGGCGGGCAAAAACAGCTCAATTGCTGTTTTGCACGGACAAAATTTCACCAATAACCCTTTGGGACAAAACGTTACCAGTATACCCACCGAATTGATGCAAAAATTAGACAAATAACCGCCGTGTGCGTTTGTTTGTCTAATCTAAAAATAAAAACTCACCATTAATCGCTGTTTGCACCTGTGAAGTGGCCAGTAACTGCAGTGCGCGAAAAATAATCCCTCGGTTGGCCTTGTGCTCTGTTAAGAAGGTGTCTGACTTAGGTGCCGCCAGCTAGGGTAAAATTTGCCTTTCAAGTTTCACATTGGCTTAAATTTAGATAAAGTTCATGTGTTGTATTGTGAACTTGTGATGAGTTATAGATTTAGTTCAATGCAGGTAGTACTACTGGCCCGATTATTGATGATATTTGCGTTTAGTTACACATTTCTCAATCACTCCAGTGCACTCCATGTTCACAGTGAGAAAGTCATGAAATTTGTTCACACCGAACTTTTACTTCTAACCACATTGAAAAGCTAGTTAAATGAAAGAGGATTAAAATATAGTATATCCCAGTGTTTCAAGGGTTTTTGTGTATTAAAGCTGCTTTTTGTTTCACAAAATAAAGATATTTACTATTTCATGGCAACTTTCACAAATGATTGGAGCAACTTTTTCCTAAGCATTTGATTAAAATCGAGATAATATCAACAAAGTTTCAAAATAGGAAAACAAAAAAGCTGTAACTCTTCGTCAGATGAAGATAGTGTTGAGATGATTTAAAAATCATGTTTTTTGAAACAATTCCAGATCAGAAATCGAAGCGAAGTTGTTTCCCATTTGGAGGGATTATAACAAGAAGTAGCAGGCATACCTGGTCAAATGATGTAGAAACAGATGATGAAAACAAAGTGAAGGCTTTGCATTTGATGACTATAAAATGGGCAGAAATACCATGGAAAAACGGCCAGCTTATCTGAAGAGAAACATTCAGTTCAATGCATGAAAATGAGACTTAAATTTGGACGCTGGCCAGAGAAACGACTGTGCAATGCTGCCCACACCCAATAAAATTACAATTTTTATTACTTACAATACAATTTTTCCACGAAAATTTTTTGGGTTTCATTTATTTGCATTTCTTGCCCTTTCATGTGTGTTTTTTGAAATAAATGTGACAAAAAAAAACAATATATACATATATGTATATAATATATGTATATATCTGGTGGTAATTTTATCTTGTTCAACTTGAAACCAAGCGAAATTAAACATTGGATTCCTATGGTTCCAAAGTATGGGACAACGTTTCCTAAATTAAAAGTAATTTTAGCCCAAATATTATTAAAATATAACTCAGCACTCACTGCAGTGAGTGACAGAGAGCGCATTTTCTCGTCGGCGAAAATTTTATCACGGACGGGCAGAGGGACAGACAGACGGACAGACGGACGGACATGACGAGCACAAAAGCGCATTTTTTCCAATATGAGAATATGCGCTAAAAGCATAGATGTGCGACAACCCTAACTAAATTTTGATGCGGGCCTGAACCTGCGGGTGTCGTCTAGAACTCGGCAAATTGCTAAATCAGAATATCTGTTTCCTTCTCCGGCTCTAGGAATAAAATTATTAAATGTATCCTTCAGGCAACTTATAGTCACAGTTTGAATTGGCAAAATAATTACGTGTCACTGATTTCATTTTGGTGCAAAAGCAGATCCAGAATAACTCTGTGCCGAGTGTCGCAACTATTGAGCAAAAGGCTGGGCGTTTGCATTTGTATTAGTACGCATGCCTTGGAAAAAGTGCTTCTTGAACGAGTGGGCTCTGGGATTCCAACTTTTCAGAAACGTCGAAACTATTTTGGAATTTTTAAATAATTCTCAGTCCTCTCCAGCTTAAATCGGAATTCAGATTCCTGAGATAAACTGTAAGAAATTAAAAAGGATTATAACTAAATTTTTATCAGAAAAATAATTACGACCGCAAATCAAAGTTAGCTAATAGATTTTCTTAGAAAAAGTTAAAACTTTTGCTTTTATCACAACTTCTTCCCAGGTTATAATTTGACTGGAGACCTAAAATTCACTCCAAAAACTTTTTCCGTAAAATTTATTTATTCAAAGAGACATTGCATGTATTTATCATCTATCGTCTTTGAAATGCTGAGGAGGTCGAGGGTGACGATGATGATGTTGCTGTCCGTGCTGCACGGAACCGGCGCAGCATCAACGGGCTCATCCCGGTACCGCGTGCACCCCCAGGCAGGGTTCGGTATCACTGATACCGCGGCAGTGGTGCACTATACATCGTCTGCCATACAGGTAAGGTTAATAATTTCAATTTCATTACATGTTCGGTATCTCTGATACCGCGGCAGTGGTGCACTATACATCGTCTGTCATACAGGTAAGGTTAATAATTTCAATTTCATTACATGTTCGGTATCTCTGATACCGCGGCAGTGGTGCACTATACATCGTCTGCCATAGAGGTAAGGTTGTGAAGTTCGATTTTATTTCGTTATATGAATCTTATTATAAGGCTCGATTTGATAATGTTCAAGACATCGTTTCATTCAAGTATGTTCGAAAAATGCTATTTCCGTTCGAAAATGTTATTTTTATTGCCTCAAGCCATGATGCTCCTTGTCTTGCCCTTTAGTTAGTATTAGTGCAATGAAATACTATAGCTTTTTCACTTTCGTATATTTTGGCGCAAGGAAAAATTTATAGACTTCAATGTTGAATCAATTGCTCGATTTTGATATATAAATAGCAGCATTATTTCTATGTTTCGATAGTTTCTCCGATGCAAGAAAGCAACAAGTAATTTAAGATTTCACTGCAAAGCTAAAATTTTCCCCAAATGCTTATTAAGACGTTGAGGCGACAAGATCCATGATGGTTGCAGGAATATTTTTCCGGACAAATTCCGCGATCTTTTTTCAATTGCGTTTGTCAACAACAATTCTGACTGCCTCATTAAATTTTTAAAAGCACGGGAAAAAGGAAAATTTAATTTTTGCACCGGAACCTACACATTTACTAGTAGGGCAACATGGGGCAGCGCGCCCCCCACTTTTTTTAAACTAAAATTTTGATGAAGTTTTAATTGATACGAGGTGGTTCTTTGTTTTGTTTAAGTGTACAACTAATGAGGAATGTATGATGTGAATTAGACGCCTATAGATTTATTCAATTTTTAATGAAACACTATTTTGTAAAAAGTGTCAAAATGGGCCCATTGCCCCACCCCTGGGGCAATGGGCCCATGGGCTTGGGGCAAGGCGCCCACCCGCGGTCAATTCACCACAATTGCATATTTTTCGTTTAAAAATGATAAAACAATACTTTACAGTTAAAAATAAGAAAAATGTAAGAAAAAATATGACATTCATTCATTTATTAACAACTCAAAAAATCATATCCTTAACTTGAAAAAAATATACTCTTGGCTTAAAAAATCTATCACTGACGTGAAGAAAAATATTTCATTGACATAAAAATATATATCCTTGACTTGAAAAATAAATCCTTGCGATAAAAAAATTCGTCCTTGACATGAAAAAAATGTATTCTTGACTAGAAAAAATATATTTAGTTTATCAGAAAAAAACTTCGTTCCAGTTTTGCCCATAATCCAGATATTATGTTATTATGTGCAGAGAATTCGTACCTAATCGTGATTACAGCCAACACCATAAAAACTCAACAACTTTTGGCTCATTGGTGTTGACTGAAATCAACTTTTGGCAAGGCAAGAGTCAATAACTCGATAAGGGATCATAAATACGCATAACTAGAAACTAAACCTGCTGCCTTGAGGCGGCAAATCGAAAAATCATGCAATATGAAGTGTGATTGGGAATTCAAAAGCTAGTCATAGTTTTGAAAAGCCCATTGAGACAAATCTAATGATGTATAACACAAGACTTCCCCTTGGGCGCTTTGCCCCGTGACACGCGTGGGCCCGTTGCCCCCACTAGGTATCCTTTCAATTTATATCGTGTCAACATTTTATTTTAAAAGCGAATAGTCTAAACTTGATCTCAAAATTATCCTTATAGATATTACTTTCAAAATATAATTCACAGTAATTTCAAAAGCTTCATCTCCAGTAATCGATAACAGTTTTATTTAGCAGCAAAAAACCTTTATCTGGGCTGAAACAGTTATCCATAAATAACTTAATAACGCAAACACTTAGCAAAACGAAAATCCGTACACTTCATCCCAGTGAAACTGTCGACCGGCGGTAGAGAACACGGACCAATATCTGCCATACTTAGCGAGAAACCCGCTATGGGCCCGTGACCCGCAGCGGGCTCGCTGCCCCATGTTACCCTATATTTCGAAGTTCAGGCCTTTTTTATTCGCGGACTTGGCCGTTTTTAGGCCATCTGCCAGCGCTGGTGGGTCGAGGCGCGCTGAATGTGTTAAAGCAATGTTGAGCTTTTTCATTTTTGATGAACCAAGAGAAATAAATGTTCTAATAATTTCGGGAAAAAATATTTGCCGTAATTTCTATTTGTTTCGTTGACGCAATTCATGACCCCATCTGGTTAAAATTCAAACAGAGTGTCCCTCATACATTAATTCATTTATTAACGCATTGATTAGTTTCTGAGAGCGGCAAATTATCTATAAATTCAGAACATTTCTATCAGCTCACAGTATCCCGTACTGCAGATGACTGCTAAATATCTCTTAATAAATTGATGTATACTATCTTATGTCGATGCGAATTAACACATTGAAAATAACACAAAACAGTCAATCACAAACTAATGTTTAATTATTTATCACATTAAGGAATTTCTAACAGCACTAAAACGAGTTAACTTCTTGCAGTGTGCTCAGCGGTGCTCGATTTCTGGCTCATCTGTCTTCTCCGTCACTGAAGAAAACACAGGAAAAGTGAGATGCAGAATTGCATCGTCTGGCTTCCGAGCTGAGAACCTCACCGCCGGCGCCGCTGCTGCAGGAGAAACAACCTACGTCGACGTGAGTCATAAACAGCTTACAGAAGCCGGGGAATAACATTTGCGATGCTTTTTACTATTAATGTTTTTGCTATTTAAATTCTTGATCTTTATAATACGTTCTATTTAACTAATACATTTTTTATATCAGCGATATTTCATTGTTATTAACTTAACAATCATCATAATTGCTGCGCAAAACTAAACAGCATACAGAAGCCGGGGAATAATATCGTTTATGAGGCTTTTTACTATTAGTTTTTTTGCTATTTTAAATTGTTTCTTGATCTTTATAATACGTTTAATCTATTTAACTAATACATTTTTTATATCAGCGATATTTCATTATTATTAACTTAACAATCATCATAATTGCTATGCGAAACTAAACAGCGGAGAGAAGCCGGGGAATAACATCGTTTATGAGGCTTTTTTACAATTATTTCTTATGTTATTTAAATTATTTCTTAATTTTTATAATACGTTTAATCTATTTAACTAATTAATTTTTTATATCAGCGATATCTCATTATTATTAACTTAACAATCATCATAATTGATCGCAAAACTTTTCCTAAAGTTAATCACGGAGGACATGGATAAATTAAGAGACAATACTTCCAACTTGCAATTAAATTTCTGTATTTTATTACAGCGGAAACCTACGAATTTCTTTGCGAAACAGTCCAGGAACGTCAGATCGAGAACTTGGAACATTTCCATGAAATTGTTTTTCATTTGGAACAGAAGGAAAATATTCGAACAGTTATTAACATATTAACCACAGTTTGAGAAATATGAGAAATATTCAGTACACAGTCGAGCCACGCAGTAGCTAACGCCCACTGCGTTGAATAATATCCATAGCTACAGACACTATCCGACGGTCTGTATGTGAACAGACCATCACTAGCCACCATATGCCTGCTTCTAATCAGTATTGTCACATCTACACGCATAAAGCTACATGAAGCTACCACGCCTTTCTTACTACCGATCAGCGTCTAACTAAACCTTATCAGAAATTTCAATTAGTTTCTAAGTTCAACAATTGTTATTAAAAGAATACTAAATTTGATTTTTTAATACTATAATATAGCGCGAGAAACTAGTAACAACTGAATGTAGATTCCAAGGCTGACTTGGTTAAATATCATATTTCTATTCCAATAGTGAGTTTGAAGCAGGGGCTAAAATAATTGCATTGGTAAGCCAATAATTAAATTCTTAACTGAACCGTATATTTTGCTGCATGTAATTAATTTAATATTTACCTACACAGGAACTCAGTCCTGCTACAATACAGGAAGTCACCACTACTCCTGTGCAGGCGCTCACCTCTACCGCACCAACTCAAGGTGGGCAATGAAGATAGATCATAAAAAAGTTGTGTCCATATACTTGAAAAATTAATACCTGACGAGTCACAATTCTTCACAACGCCCAGGAGCATAATATGTTTTTCGAGAATGCACGTTTTTGGCAAATATTTCATAGTGACAACTTGTGTATCGATTTGGAGGCAGAAAGCAACATGTAAAGACAAATTATGCAAAGTCATATCACACTAAGTTCGTATCAATTAAACACGAATAAATGAGTTCCCACTTGTGGATAATATTTTTCTTTTGAGACAAAAACGAATCTCTTCTTTAGCTAATTGAAGTCGACAAATTCGTGTCCTAAAAAATTTGAAATTCCTTCCCATAAGTTCAGCTGCAAAAATTGTGATTTTTAACACGTTATTTTAAGGGTTTCAGGTCCGCTTTTAGATAAAAATGTGGTATTCCTCTTTCCCGGTTGTGTTGTATTTTCATTGATTGGCAAACATGTACTGAAATTTATATTTCGTCGAGGCGTGTTTTTAAAATACCGTTTTTGAATTACGCCGCCGCCGTTTAGCATATGCACCGTGTAGCTACATCTGTTGAGAAGCCGAATACGTCGTTACGGAAACATTCGATCGAGTCTACATCTGTTTACATGATTTTAAATCCAGCGCCTATTGATAATCCGCCAACTGTGAAGACCGAGCGTTTCTTTGTGCTCAAGACTTTACATCAGTTGACATTCATCGACAAAGCAGTGAAGTGTGGGATGAAAACATTTAGAGTGTTTGGTGCGGAAATGGGTTAGGGCATTTATAGATGACTGAAACGAACAATAAAATAAAACAATAAAGATGGCCGAAACAATGAGTAACGAAATGGGAGACCTTCAGTCATTACCGATGATCTGATTTAAAAAATACTGTATAAGTATAACTACGTACTCACTGCAGTGAGTGACAGAGAGCGCATTTTCACAAAATCGACGAAAACGTGAAGTCATGGACAGACGGATGGACGGACGGACATGACGAGCTCAACAGCGCCTTTTTTTCCATAAATGAGAAAATGCGCCCAAAACGGACTGTAAAGTGGAAGAAAACAGACGAGTCACGATTTGTACCTGGCTGAAAAGTTTCCAGTTATTGTTTAGGAAATTATCTGATTGGGCGGCAAGCTTCTTTCACGACGGCTTTCAAAAGCTAGTCCCAATATATGATAAATGCATCAATATTAATGAGAATCACGTAGAAAAGTATGTTCTTTCGAGTGAGTAAATTATTTTTGGGAATAATTTACTAGCTATTTCTCTACTTCAGAACGGTACTTGCTGCAAAAACATGCCTTGTACACTCTAATGCTACATAATAACCGTATTACACTCAATTAAAATACTCTCTATTGATAAAATGTATTAAAATATGCACTGATTGATTCAAATTTTTATTAATGAAAAGGTCCATGTCTGACTGCATCGGATATCGTCTGCGCTACTGCAGCTCCGGCAACTTTCTTCTACCACCCGAGCGACTGCAGCAAGTACCTGTGGTGTACAGGCGGTACCAACCCGATACAGATGGCATGCGCTCCTTGTACCTACTGGCAGTTGGACATCACCGCCTGCGTTACGACTCGGCCTGCAAAGTGTTCTTGTCAGACGTCCATACAAAGGGCCCCATATACTTGCGAGTAAAGGGCCCCATACACTTGCGAGTAAAGGGCCCCATACACCTGCGAGTGAAGGGCCCCATACGCTTGCATGTTTGATTGCCGAGTCCGATGTTGATTCACGTACCGGACTCGGCTATATTTCACCATGCAGCCTACGTATTTTTCTCGTCCAGTCCAGTTGTAATGACGAGTATCAGAGCAAGTTATGACTTAGATTATAGTTTGGAATTATTAGGCAGCCCCAAGACGCTAAATAGTGTTTTTGCATCTCTTAATTTATACTAATATGTTACTCAAACTGGATAATATTGCGCGCGTTGGACTTCAGGTTATTCGTCTCAACAATGCTTTCATATCGTGGGTGGCGTGAAAGATGAGGAATAACAAAGTTTTGAATTTATTGAAGTGTATCGTGGCCCTCCTGCTGTGTGATATGTGAAGTTTAGGGATTTTCGTGCTCTTTCAAAAATAGGGATACCGAAAGATGCACTGTTTGCACAGTATTGAGAGAATATAAGCAATAAGTTCATCATTGTTTTGAGGATTTTCTAAAATAAATTTAGATCAAATGCAATTTTTGACATAACCTTTATATTCAGATATTGTGAAGAATTTAACTCAATGATTATTGAATTTAATTTTCTATTGAATATTCTCTTTGTCTTAACTTTATTTTAAATCTAGATTCCTTATCAATATAATTCGCCTCATTTGACATCCAAAATTAAACTGTTTCTGCAATCAGTCATTTTTTCACCAGAAATGTTCGGTACTGCTATTCGACAATCTATTGAAAAGTAGCGTTCATGTTATCCAGCCTAAACATGAATGATTGATTTAATTTAAGATGATACTCAGTCTTAATATCGTTACCTGCCTTTGGGCTGATCGTACTGCATTCTTATCAAAATCGTCAACAAATTGATTTTTTTAAAAGTCTATTCATTGGTGTGATTTATATATTTTTGCGTTCCATTGTAGAATAGAATAGAATAGAATGGAAGTGTCGGCGTTGAAGAAATAGGCCCATGGCCTGTTGCCGATTCTTGAACTTTTCGTGATTTGATTCACAAGGGATCCGGCCTTTGGAACCCGATCTTTCCATAGCTGACGATTGATTGAGATAGCTGCTGGACTTATTGCCTGGTATGTTTAGTTAAAATATTAGTTAGTTTAGTTTAGGAAAATTTCGCAATATAGAATGACTTATGAAACTTTAATAAGAATCTTCATATATTTTCCGAATGCAAATTTAACAACTTTCTAATATTATAAACGTGCGTGTCTCCTATGATGAGCTATTTAATTGAGGTTTGCTAAGCCTTGCTGGCCCAAGCGCAGCATTCGATTCGTCATCTTTGGCGTTCATTTTCCTGTTCACCATTGAGTTCAAGAAAGTGCACATTGCGTGAATGTTATTTGCGCTTCTTAAATTCATTTTTAAAATATATTCATTGCGTTGATTAAATTATTAGTATCATTTCACAAATACATTTGTTTGAATTCGTACCGAGAATTTCGATCTCCTTCGAGTATTTCGTCTATGCTCAGCCATAAAATCATACTTAAGATACACAATTATATTTTACTGGCTAGTACATTTTACTGCCAGCGGCTGAGTATTTATTGTTGTTCTCTATCTTGTCTATAGGATATCTAAAATTGCACAGGCAGTTTTCCTTCAAATAACTACTTATAAAGATATAGGCAATCCAGGAAAATTTTTTGCATGCGAGTCTGAAAACCGCAATATAGCGGGTCTAACGGGGAAATATCCTCTGAAAGAAGTTACAAATAATTTTTCTCCGTCGTAAATTATTTCATGTGCTTCTATTAACCAAAAGGAGATAGAAGATCTCTTCACTGGAGACACTCGTTAGCGCTAACATATATACACGATTGGAGTTGAATTGCGTCTTATTTGAAAATATTTTAAAACTTGAAATTATATTATTGAAAACCCGCCGTAGTAGAACATAAATACTACTTGTGAAGGCACGATTAAGAAATCATGAAAGCGACCTTCTATAAGACTAAGTTTCATAGTCGAAAAAAAAAAAGAATTCACGAATCATAACGTTAACAAACTTTCGTGCATGTGTTTCGTACTATTATTCAAATTTAATTTTAGAACTCAGATCTGAATACTGCAGTGGAAAAGGAAAAATTTCAAACATATTGACCCTTTTTAATGATATAAGAACCTTCTTCAACCGTAAAATGAGACGACAAATTTGTTTTATTTGTGTATTTATTCACGTATATTCATCACATCACGTGTACTCATTCACGCAAAACTTGAATTTCGATGCCGCTAGATAAAGCTAAACATGTGTTTCCAGTCTATGAAAGTTCATGCATTTCACTTCTAATGCAGGAGTGCAGTCATTATGTAGCTGGAAAAATTATGTGCTATTTATGGTGAAGTCATATAGGTCATTTTAGTTTCAATAATTGACTTATATTATTGGGCTGAATGCCTTGTTCATTGCAGCCGATATTTTTATTGCTGTCAAACGCATTATTCCTTGTTAATCGTTGGAACAACTCCATTAGAGCATAGAATTTTACATATTTTTGTGTGCCATCCATACGTCATTGAAGAAATTCAAGCATTGGTGACATTCTACTTAAGTTGGCTAAACAAACTTTCTTCTGACTTAAGATGAAGAAAACGAATTTCTATTGGTAACCCTAAGAAATAACTTGCCAGATATTTCATATCCCACCCGCCGTGATAAACAGCCCACCATGTTGGTAGGTGGGGTGGGGCGGGGTTGAGGGGGGGGGGGTTCTATACCAAGTGACATTATCAACCGATAGAAATGTTATACGCACCTTGCACCTAATGGGTGGCCTGGGCCGTTAATGACGACACCTCAAATCAGGATAAACTTAAACTGATCGGGTTAAATCAGGCTAAACGTTAACCTGATCAGGTTAATTCATGTTAAAGTGAACCTGATCAGGTTAAATCAGGTTAAACTTAACCTGATCAGGAGCAGGCACCCAGGTCTCGAGACGTCTCTCTCTTACCATCGAGACGTGACCCAGCCTCAGCATGCAATTTAATGATTATAATAATAATAGCTTATCAGCGTTTATTAGGCCGTATGCCGGTCGCCGGTTTTTAACATCGCAGAACGTTGACAGCTTGATGCAATCCCTAACTCGCAACTCACTGCTACAATTCTGCTTTGCTTAACCGCCCGGCCTCCTCGCCGATTCTGACCAAAAACTGGCGCACAGAGCTGGGATCGAACCCGCACCTCTCTGCGCCAATCTTGGTACACTGAACTTTAACCACTGAACCACACTGGGCCTATACATTAGAAAAAGTAAAGAAATCGTAAGTTTATCAGCCAATCGTTGACGGCCTTTCAAGCAAAATCCACCAATCATAGACAAGGAAATAGAGGGTAAGTACTAACGTTCACTTAGCGAGTTTTGAAAGTATGGGCCCTGACCATAAACCCTAAAAAACTCAGCCACAGAGCTAGAAACTGCAGGCTGCGCTAAAACACCGTAAACCAGACCCGTGACCGTGACGCACTGCATTAAGCTATTAGCGCCTTAATAGAAGCCATAGACGTTCAATATTATTCGGCAATATTTTGGTAGGCGCAATAATATTCAGTAACTATGAGTCATATTGAAAGATTGTGCAATCACATCCACAGGCGTGCAAAAAAATTTCGTGCAAACAGCCCAAGCTAGAGTTTTATGAAGTGAAAGTGTTTAGTGAGACTCTGAGACCGACTGCGTTGCATAACATGGTGATGTCAGCGCTGAAGTGTAGGCCTGACGTGGCCTGTCGCCGATTCTTTTCCTCTTCGTGCCTTTTCACAGAAGATCTAAAATCGTGTCATTTGACCGGATCTTTTCATGACTGACGATTGTTTGAAATAGCTACTAGACTTCCACCGGGTTCGATAAAGTGCTAGGCATTTCAAATCTGAAGATATATTTTCCCATAGCTTTATCTAGTTGCACATTCTTCACTGTATTATAAACTTTTGTGTCGTCGGCATACATGGAGCACACGCTGGATACTACTTCTGGCAGATCATTTATAAAAGCAGCGAACAAAATAGGCCCCAGGACGCTTCCTTGTGGCACGCCACTGCGCATATATCAATAATGCTTCATTAATTAAGATGCTGCACGAAATAGTGCCACAAGAAGTTTTTTGTATCGTAGCCAAGACGAACGTTTTTCTCTAGGATAAGTAACTGCAGTTTGAATGAATAAGAATTTAATGTTACATCATCTACTTCACATTTAAATTACCCTTTCATGTGACCTTGAATATTTAATGGTACCCATTTTAACTAACAATGTCTCACTGCTCTCATATCTAAAAATATTATAGTGGAAAAATAGGTTTTCGATAAAGAAATGAAAACAAACCAAGACGTGTATTTTATTAAGTGCACTCCTCTGGATAAAATGTAATTGCATTTCTAAGTGCAAATACTTGTAGCAGGTCATCTTAGCCCATTGGAATATCAACTGCCATATTAAATTATTCAAAATTTCAGTTTGCATTTTACATGATTAAATCTTTTCATTTCTTAATACTTAGGAAATTGCGAGAAATTCTCTCGTAATAAATTATCTTTTATTGGTTAAGTAAAACTTCAAACTTTTTACCTTCACGATCCCACTTATTTTGACCTGCTAGAAATTTTACCGAAACTGCTATTCAGCGCTTCAGTATTCAGTAAATAGCGGGAGAGCGGGTAACATATATAGGCTACCCCAACGGGATAGTGAGAAAGCCCGGAACTAAATGACAGTCATCAAAGGTTCTATTGCTAGAGATCATGATTCATGCAATTAGTTCTATTGCTTGACTTGATTCATGCAATACAAAGACTTAAGTGAAATCGATAACTTACCTCGTATTTGGTTTTGCACTCCATTCATATACTGGAACAGTCTGGTTGAAAAAATGTATGCAAATTTCTTGTTCATAAAGTAAACTGAAGCCTGACAAAGGAATAAAAATTGTAATAAATCAATAAATCCACGAAATTTCAATCCATAAAATTTATGGATTGAAATTTCAATCCATAAGAA